GGACTTTCCTACCCAGGCTGGCTCTGAACCACAATCCTCAGAACTCAGCCTTCTGAGTAGCTAGGATTATAAGCATGAACCACTGGTGCCCGACCAGATTGCTCTTAATAAGCTCCAGGTGTGCTTGCAGTTTGCCCATAAGAAGGGTGCTTTGTGATATTTTTTTTGTGTCTCTGTTTATAGGGGGAGGATAGGGAAGGGGTAATGTCCTAGAAGTGATCCTTTTCCTTATCATCCCCCATACCCTCTGTCCAACTTTTTTCTGCCCCTTACCTTTTTTCTTTTCCAGGGCACCAGCCGGCCATCCCATTACTATGTCCTTTGGGATGATAACCGTTTCACAGCAGATGAGCTCCAGATCCTGACGTACCAGCTGTGCCACACTTATGTTAGATGCACACGTTCTGTTTCTATCCCAGCACCTGCCTACTATGCCCGCCTGGTGGCTTTCCGGGCACGGTACCACTTGGTCGACAAGGAGCATGATAGGTAAGGCCTGGATCTGGCTACCTTTTCTATTGCACTCCCAAGTTTCCTTGAGTAGAAGGACGTGAGTGCTGCACAATTTAGTATTCTTGGATTTAATCTGCCCAAATCTGGGTTGAAGTTTTCTCATAGGTTGGTGTGGGAAAAGCACCCAGGGATGGGTGAGGGAATTAATAGTCCATTTCACCAGGTAGGACTTTTTTTCATTGTTTTCTTTTCAGTGGAGAGGGGAGCCACATATCTGGGCAGAGCAATGGGCGGGATCCCCAGGCCCTGGCCAAAGCTGTACAGGTTCACCAGGATACTCTGCGCACCATGTACTTCGCTTGAAGGCAGAACGCTGTTACCTCACTGGATAGAAGAAAGCTTTCCAAGTCCCAGGAGCTGTGCTGCCCAAATCCAGAGGAAGCAAGGAGGAGGAAGGTTGGGTAGAGAGGAGTGTAGGAGGCCTTGTTTTTCTCTACAGAAGGGGTGGAGGGGTGGGGAACAGGGCCAGCAAGAGACCACCAGCCGGAAATCTCTGATACCAACCTCATATCCTCCTGCATCCCTCACCCTATTTTGTCACATCTGGCCCTGATCCCATTGGACCAAGATGGGCAGCACTGGTGCCCACCATACTCACAGGTGTCTCATGTGATTCACAGTGCTAAAGACTCATGCTTAACAGCTTGTTAAGGTCGGCTCTGAAGCCCTGTGGACAGAAGCTGGTAGGATTGGGTTTGATACTTTAGATGGGAAAGTGAGGGGCTTGAGAATGTGGGTGGGAGGAGGGAAGGATTTTTTTAGGAGCCTTAATCAGAAAAAGGTCTAGATTTGTTTAAGAAGAAAAATGAAATCAGACCCAGATCAATATTTTAGGATACTAGATGTTTTCATGGGTTCAGAATCCAGTTTGTAGGAAGATTTTTAATGCTAATGGTTTTGGTTGTTCTTCCCTCAGCTACCCACCCTCAATCCCTGCCCACTGCCTTTTGCCCTTATTCTCTCATATTTCCTACCCCATCTTACATCTCATCCCTGACAGAGATCCAGCCCCCTAGTAACACTTAAGGCACTATGGCACTTAGCTCTGAAGTGACACGACCCTGTCTTCCTTCCGCCTGCTGGTGGGTAACCAGTGCCTTCCCTGTAATGGTAATGCTGCAGAACTGCAACCTTTTGTACCTTTCTTTGTGGGACTGGGTGGTGGGGTGGGAGAAGGAGGTAGGTGGGAAACAGATATCCCAACCCAATAAGCCTCCAGCCAGAATGCCAGCTATTTTCCATTTGAAGGATTGACTTCCATACTCATTGAGCTTTTAAAAAGATCGCAACCTCACGATGGTTAGAATCCATTGACATTTGCACTTTCAGACATGACAAGTCTCGGAGCTGCTGAGATGACTGGCCCCTGGCCTTTTCACTTATACTTCCCTCTTTTCCATATCCCCATTCCTTCCACCCTGCCTGGTCTGGAGTTACTTTCATACAGCATTTCTCACTCTTGGCTTTTTCCCCCTAATCGTCATATCTCTTATGTTTCAATATTTCTTAACTGGGGTGTCTTATAACAGAAGATCTTTAGGTCTAAAATGCGAAAAAAGAAAATGAAATGTTATTTTTATACCATAACTTGAGTCTATTGCCAAAATCTGGAAATTCCTCCCATGCCTGATGAGTTTACATCCTGGAAACATTGAGCCATCAGAAGGAACTATGTATCTGACTTGTTCTCTGGCCTGGCTAGGTAGGGGTGGTTATTTTCCCCAAAGTGAGGCTCAGGCTCTGTTCTTCCTCTGTGCAAATAATACCTTTTTCTTGCTACAGGCTTCCTCCTCTGCACTGTCCTGCACTCTTTCCTGCAAGTGTATCTTCCCTTTCTCTGGACTGGACTGTCCTTTGACCCTTGGATTCATCCCAGATTCTAGCATGTCCTGTGGACAGGCTGGGGAATTTTGCTGCTCCCTTTGCTTCTGTTTACACAAATGAATTTTTCCTGGTTTCCCACTAGGGCATGTGAGTGGGTGGCATGGGCTTTTTTTTTCCCCCCTTTGAGATAAAGGGTTTGGCTGGCTTATAGGAATGGAGAAGAAGGAGGTTCTTGCTTAGTCTCTGCTGGCAATTGAGAGAAGGCTCTCTCTTTCTCCTGTACTACTGCTTGGAATGGGAAGGTTCAGTTTCAGTATGCAAATTCTTCTTTTTGAGGAGCCTGGGCTTGGTTTTACCCTCTCTGGTGATGAAGCCATGATACTATAGATCTAGTCCAGGATTGGCCAGTCAGCTGGAGGAAGGAAGGTCTGAATCCTGGCCTGTAGAGTTAAAGCAACCCTTTTTCTCTTCCCAGCAGCCTTTGTACAGACCCACATTTGCTATGCAAAACAATCTACTCTAGGTTCTGTTCTAGTTGGCTACATTGTTCAGTAACTTCACAAAAAGGTAACGCAAATATTCCTTATGAAGAAAGCAACAGGACTGTTGAGTAACTCCTCCTGTACATTTTTCTGCTGGCTATAGAATGGGTTGTCCAATGGGCACAAGCCTAGTGAAAAACAGAATGGAAGGTCCTGGGAGGAGGCAGCTCACTGGAGAGCCTACATTCCTTACACAAGTGCCTAAAGAGAGTGATGCTAACACTCCATATGCCCTCTGTCCATCGCCTTCATTATACAGTCTACTTCATGTTCTGTCACCCTTTGGGGAGGAAGCTCTCCTAGGACAATGGGCTCTCATGTAATCTACTACATTGGGTACATTTTGGGGCTAGGACAAGGGCATTATTCCTGGAGGGTCCAGTCATTCACCAGCATTTGCAAATGCCCAGAGGGAACAGATGGAAGTCACTATTCTCAGCAACAAGTTTGTGTTCTTTCCTTTCTCTTTGCCTCACTCTCTCCATTGGGCTTTGAGCTGGGGCTTGAAAGGCATTTCTAGTCCTTTGGCATCACATGTGCCATTCAAGAAATAAAAGCAAGAGAATGAGCTTGGATAATGATGAGAAAATAATTTTCTGCTCTTAGTTTTAGGAAAAAAAAGACAAATCCATGATTGTGTTATTTATTCTTGTTTGAAAGGTGGCACGTACACAAGGTGTTGGTAGTAAGCTTTAGCTAGCTTGGATTTGGTTGCGGTAGCAGTACTTCTTACTAAGTTCTGAGGAAGTACTGGGAGGACCCCAGCCTTATCCTCATAGGTCTCTTGCTCCCTTTTTCCCACTGTTTTTAATATCCCTTTCCTCTTTCTTTCCTTGGCTGACTCCCCCTGCCCTCTATTGACTCAACTTGGTTGCTGGCTGGCCTGTATGCCTGTCTGTCTGCCCATGTGATGAATTCTCTGCATGACCTGCAATGATCCTACTGTTAACTGGCAAGGTCAGGCTAAGCACCTTGACTGCATAAGACCAAGAACCTGTTCCCCATGCCCAGTAGTATTAATATTAGTTGAACTTTCCTCAAGCTTACACTATAGAGCAGCAGACTTGCTTGGCTTCTGGGAGTTTGCACACCTAACCATTCCTTGGAGCTAGTTTCTCATTGCTTTTTCTGCTTCCTTTTCTCTCTGCTCTAGGACCTTCCTTTGCTAAGGATGACCTAGGGTCAAGCTTTTTGATTATTCTGAGTTGGGGGTTAGAGAATGGAAATAGAGGGAAAAGTGAGAAGAAAAAAAAAGAATGGATAGAGTTTGGGAAAGGAGAACACTGCTTTTTTTTTTTTTTTCTAGTTCAGCATGACCCATTGGTTGAGGTGCTACTGCTGGCTACAATAGCCTTGGAGCTATTGTTGCCACAAACTTAAGCTTAGAATGAGGCTGAAGAAAAAGATGCCTACAAGTTTGAAACCTTTCTAAAAATCTACTGGTTTCCACCTGTTAGATATCTCCTTAATAGCCTCCTTGTTGGCTGAGCAACAGTGTTTTTTTCTGTCCAGAATTATATGAATAATGCCAGTACACATGATGGACACAAAGAGGACACTTCTTAGCTGACTCATTAGATAACTGCAAGGCTGGTAGGACTGTATTTCAGACTTGGCATCATGTATAACAGAGAAGAATGGAAGTTCCTTCTCTTCCGGGGCAGAAAATTCATCTTAAGTGAGCCAAAAAGCAGTTTTAGAAACTATATTGAAGAAAGTTGTTTTTATTTATTTACTGGGCTTAGGCCAATTTAGGATGGTAGCTAAGATGCCTTCCTTCTTGAAGTCTGATCAGGGCAGGGATATGGCAGGGCACTCTTTCCTACTTAGCCTTTTAAGCGGATTGGAGAAGAGGGATTCTCTGGTTTTCTCTTTTCCCCCACTCACTAGGACTTGCCTTCTCCCTGGGCTGGGAGCTAGGCTGGGTTGGTGCTCTCCCCTTACTCTACTCCTACTGACTTCGAACCTCTGGCTGCTGTTTGGAAGCCCAAGAAAAGGAGTGAAAGGAATGGGCTCAAAACAGATTAATATAGGGAAGGCAGATTTTCTCTTTGAAAAGGAAAATAGGAAACTCTCCAAGAATTGTGCAAGTAAAGACAATTTGTCCCAATGCACTGAGTCCCCTAGTGTAGTAGCAATAAGGTAAAATGAAATGACTTTCCTGTGCACACAGTCCAAACTGACTGGTGTTTGATGTTGCACTTAGCCTTGTGTCAGGCACGTGTGACTACTCTGGGTTTCACTTTAGTTTCTAAACTTTTTATCCCTCTCAAGTGCAGCATGGATGGGGAAATGTCCCTAGAGCCCCACAGCTGTGTACTTGTTTGCATTTGTTTCCCTTTGAGACTTGTATCTGTGTCCTGCTTTGAGCTGTACCTTGTCCAGTCCATTGTGAAATTACTCCAGCAGCTGTAATGTACAGTTCCTTCTGAAGCAAGCAACAGCAGCAGCACAATTCTGTTTTATAAAGACAACAGTGGCTTCTATTTCTAAAGTGCGGTCTCTCTCTCTTTTTTTTCTCCCTACTGGCAAAATAAACTATTGGGATTAATTATATCTGAGGTTTTACAGTGGAATAATAGATTGTTGTGCAATCATACTGCACAGGGCCTCTGTGTATGCTTCATTCCACAAACATGCAAAGCATTGTGCCAGCAGTACTGTGGGAGATGGTAGAGCACCTTTCAAAAATGAGGAAAACAGGGTGTTTAAGTGAGTTTGGTGGAGGTCATAATTATCCACATAGTTTCCTTGTACAGGAAAACAAGGCTGAACCAAAGAAGATATAGAGAAGAAAGGGGATCCAGGTGCCAATGGCTCATGCCGGTAATCCTAGTTACTCAGGAGGCTGAGATTTGAGGATTCCATTTCAAAACCAGCCTGGGCCAGAAAAGTCTGTGAGACCATTATCTCCAGTTAACCACAAAAAGCTGGACATGGAGCTGTGGTAGAGAACTAGCCCTAAGCAAAAAAGCTTACAAGCAGTAACACTGAAAAAAAAAGGTTGATTTGAGGCTGGGAAGGTGGCTTAGCAGTAGAGTGCCTAGCATTCATGAAGCCTTGGGTTTGATTCCTCAGCACCACATAAGCAGAAAAAGTCAGAAGTGGCGCTGTGGAGCATATGGTAAAGTGCTTGCCTTGAGCTGAAGAACTGAGGGACAGTGCCCAGGCCCAGAGTTCAAGCCCCACGACCAACAACAACCACCACAAAAAGGTTGATTTGAGAGATGAGATAAAATAGGATTCCGTGGCTGATTAGAGGCTAGTATAGAAGCTATTACCAGGTTAACTACTTGAATACAGGAGTCTTGCAACCTTATCACCAAGGTAGGGTGTGAGTGACTACTGAAGGGGTGATGAAAGGTAATTATATAGATTAGGTGGTACTTTATGTTTATTGCCCCGCCCCCTTTTAAATACTGGGAGTTGAACTCAAAACCCACACCTTGTTAGGCAAGGCAACCTATCTCCTTTACCTGCAGGTCCATTTACTGTAAATCTAGGTGATTTTGTTTGGCCAGCCTTGGGCCTCAATCCTCCTACTTCCACCTCCTGAGTATCTGGGTTTGTTATAGGCATGCACCACTGTGCCCACTCAAAATGAGGTCTTAACTTTTTGCCAGGGTCTTTCCATCTTTACTTCCCCCATAGCTAGGATTACCAGTGTTTACCATCATTCCTGGCCTTTTATATTTTCTTTAGTAGTCTCACTGTGTATCTCAGGTTGGCCTTGAACTCAGAATTCTTCTGCCTCTTTCCACTGGGAGCTGGGATTACAGATGTGTGCCCCCTTGCTTGGACTTAAAATTTGAGGGGCCTGGGAGAAAGATTTGAGGGTCCTGTGGAGATTGAGGTTAAAATTTTCATTAAACATAGGATTAATGCTTAGGAAAAACTACACAACTTTATAGATATTGAGTTGTACTCATTTATATGAACCATACTCATATAATTAACTAAAACCATAGGTATGAATGTGGTATACACCTAACATTCAAATTAATGAGAAGGAACAAAAGGTGACAGTCAAAAGAATATCAAATATTTAATGTTGTTTTGGCTACTTTAATAAGAGTGGGACAAAACCAAGAGAGTAAGATGGATCAGAAAGCAATTAACAGCATTCACTGCTACAGGGAGGTGGGCTTTTCTTTCATTTTTATTATCTCAAAAATGAGCAATGAGAAACACAATTTAAATAAACTAAGACAAGGACCTCCAAATTGTTATCACAACCACTTCTACCTCCAGCATCCTCCACTTCTTAGGAGATACTTGTAAAGGAATAAAAGAAACAAAACCTAATTATTTTCCTCACCAGCTTTATAATGTTATAGTGCATTAAAGATAGGTCTTAGCGTATTTTTATGACTTGTCTTCTCCAGAGAATGTGAACCTGTGAGAACAGAAACTACACTATATTCATTTTGTCATCAAGGCAGTAGCATAGATCAAGAGATTAATAGAGAATATGAGTAAAATGAGTTAGAAAACTGGTTCATTAGTGTGGAGGAGGAAATCAAGAAGTGATACTAAATGAACAGTATGGACTCAGCATTCCTGAATTTTCAGGTAAGCAGAAGCTTAACTGGGTTATTTTTTTCAACTCAACTTTGGAACTTATTTGTCTTTGTACCTTAAACTGGTAGTAGAGTTCTCAAGCATGCAAGTTCTAGCATTCCTCCAAAGTAGTGGAACATTGTTATTTCTTGTACACTGGGGAAAGATAGGTCAGGACCCAGTGAAAAATTGCCACTGGCATCCAGTCTGTATGTCATGGGCCTAACATTACTCCGGAGGCCAAATGTTAGGACTTTCTGACAAAGCTAACCTGTGGCTCTCACTTGCCAGATTCCCTTGGGAAAGAGGCCAGATAGACCTAGTCTCCATTTCAGCAAAGGTTAGGGAGGTTGGTTGAACTTCAGTGAATTGAAACATAGAACAATTTTTTCCCTGTTAAAATATGACAAGATTTGTGACCTCAAGTGGATCAGAAATAAGGAATTTAATAAAGGGAATAAAAGATGACCATTACAGCAAATTTTACTCTAAGCTAGTTTTAGAATGGAGTGGTTTGGCTGTTGATTGTTCTCTAAGAGACTTGGAGCCCAGGGCCTGAACTGCCTGGTCTTTGAACCTAGTTTTGAGTGAAGGCTTTTTATTGCACCTTGAGTCTCTTCAGAATTGGTTGAACGGAATTGCTGCTCTATTAATTGGCAAAATAGCACATGCTCGTCTAGCAAGTGCATTGGAGTAGAGTGAGGCTGGGTATTTATTGTTGGGTATCTCTTGATTTAGATCACAGAATGCAATGCATCAGGGTCTGGTGGGTAAAGGAAAGGGTTATACTAGAAGAGTTCCGAACCTGGGCCATTCCCAAGCTGCTGTCTGCTGTGCTTAATGAAAAATAACAATTTGGAAAGTTAGTTGTTTCATTCCTAGTTTTCCAGACATTCATTTTGGCTATAGTTTGAGGAAAGGTGACAGGTAAGCTGGTACAGTAGATACAAAGCATGACAGAAGCAATCCTTCAAAGCAGTCTTGTTAAGGAGGAGCTGGAAAGGTAGAGTTGCCGGGGGATGAAGTATATTTGGAAGTTCACTTATACACAGCTGCCTTTCCTAGCACCATAGAAAAGTTTTTCAGGGCTAGGCACTGGTAGCTCACGCCTGTACTCAGGAGGCTGAAGACTCCAGTTTGAAGCCAGCTCTCCCAGGAAATTCTGTGAGACTCCTATTTCCAATTAACTACTAAAAAACCAGAAGTGGAACTGTTTCAATGTATGAAGAACTAGCCTTGAGTACAAAAGCTCAAGGACAGTGCCCAGGCCCTGAGTTCAAGCCCCAGGACCAGTACCAAAAGAGAAAAAAATAACAAAAGTAAGCCAGGCCTTGGTGGCTCATGCCTGTAATCCTAGCTACTCAGGAGGCTGAGATCTGAGGATCAAGCTTCAAAGCCAGCCCGAGCAGGAGAGGCTCTTATCTCCAATAAGCCGCCAGAAAACAGGAAGTGATGCTGTGGCTCAAGCGGTAGAGTGCTCATCTTGAGCAGAAGAGCTGAGGGATAGCACCCAGGCCCAGAGTTCAAGCCCCAAGACTGACCAAAAAGTTTTTCAGGCCTGTGGGCACACCCTGAAGGAACAAATTTCTATTTTGAACTACCACTAATATTAATTGGATGATCTTTCTAGGGAGGCCTAAAAGGTTTCCTAATCTTCCAAAAGCAGGAAGCTTTTTACCTCTCAAAAGAGTGAACTAAGCCGGGCACCAGTTGCTCACGCCTATAATCCTAGCTACTCTGGAGACTGAGATCTGAGGATCACACTTCAGAGCCAGTCGGGGCAGGAAAGTCCTTGAGACTCTTATCTGCAGTAAACCACTGCAAAACCGGGGCTCAAAAACTGGCTCAAGTGGTAGAGCGCTCGCTCGCCTTGAGCTGAAGAGCGCAGGGACAGGGCCCAGGCCGAGTTCAAGCCCCACGACCACCACCACCACAATCAACAACAAAAAAAGCAAACTAGGGTCTGGGAAGTGGCTTAGTGGTCCTTGTTATTGTCTCCAATTAGCTCACAAATAGCTGCACAAGTGATAGAGCACCAGCCATGATCAAGCAAGTTGAGAGAATGAGACCTTGAGTTCAAGGCATCTTATACACATACACACACACCAAAAAAAATGAAATAGTAGAATAGTAGTAGTAAGGAAGGAAATGGGAACTCTTAAGTCCCTGAGCTTGACTTGCTGGGCTTGGGAGTCCTAACCAGCTGTAAGGCAGCCGATGTCCTGATTATATGGCGTATTTGTGCCTTACCCTGAGGACCAATAGTATTGATCATCTTATGCTTATGCTTACTATCTTGATATCTATTAAATTGTTCATTTTTAACCCATTTTTAAGTTGGGTTGCTTTATTGAATTTTAAGAAGTCTATATATTTTAGATACAAGTTCTTTTTTTTGGGTCTGGTCGTGAGGTCGGAACTCTGGGCCTGGGCGCTGTCCCTCAGCTCTTCAGCTCAAGGCTAGCGCTCTACCACTTGAGCCACAGCGCCACTTCCGGCTTTTTTCTTTTTGCTTATGTGGTGCTGAGGAATCAAACCCAGGACCTCATGCATGCAAGGCAAGCGCTCTACCACTGAGCCACCTTCCCAGCCCAGATACAAGTTCTTTGTTGGACATGTTTTACAAATATTTTCTTCCCAACTTTGGTTTGCCTTTTCATTTTGAAGAGCAAAAGTTTTCAATTTCATTGCCCACTTCATGTCCCAGTTTTACCTTTTTTTTTTTTTTACTTTTCAAGTTCATGTAGTTTGTATAATATTTTAAGAAAATTGCAGGCTGGGAAGTTGGCTCAGTGGTAGAGTGCTTGCCTTGCATGCCTCAGGCCCTGGGTTTGATTCCTCAGCACCACATAAGCAAAAAGAAAAAAGCCGGAAGTGGTTCTGTGGCTCAAGTGGTGGAGCGCTAGTCTTGAGCTGAAGAGCTAAGGGACAGTGGCCAGGCCCAGAGTTCAGGCCCCACGACCGGACCCAAAAAAAAAAAAAGAAAATTGGCATTGTTTCCTTGGTAGCCACTGAAGTTTCCAACATTCTCTGCTTTCTCTGCACCTGAGATTTTTGAACTATTTATAAATCTCAGCAGGGCCCTGGCAGCTCATGTTTGTAATCCTAGCTACTCAGGAGGTTGAGGTGTGAGGATCCAAGTTTGATGCCAGCTTGGGCAGGAAAATCCATGTTATCTCTAATTAGCCATGAGGAAATGAAGTGGCCCTGTGGCTCAAAGTGGTAGAGCACTAACCTTGAGCGAAAAAGCTCAGGGACAGTACCCATGCCGTGACTTGAAGTCTCATGACTGACAACAAATAAAAGGATACTTATAATAATCAGAAGTACTGGGGATAAAGTAAGAGTTTTACTCTGAGCCCTATTCTTGATACGCATTGATTTATTCATCCACCCACCCAACAAATAATGTGGTTATATGCTAGGCACAGGCATTATTTTAGGTATTGGGACTCTGTTGGTAAGGGCAAACTTGTTTGTAAGTTATCCAAAAATTGGGCATGTGACCTGGGAAGAGCCTCAGACAACTTTGCCTTTGGAACAGGCCTTTCTGCCTTCCCCCTTCCTGATACTACAGTTCATGGCCCTTTCACATGGGCTCTCTGCAAAGAGGTGCTTCTGGCTAGCAGTAGATAGGAAGGTATGAGACAGTTACTGAATTTGGTTGAGCCAGAGTATCCAAGTCCTGATCTATCAATGTCCAAAAAGAAAACAGCCTTCCTTGTGACTTCATCACCATCATCATCATGTTTTCTGGGAGGAGCCAAGTAAGCACACTCATTTGGGAACTAGTTCTGGGATCAGGGAAGTTGAGAATGGGATAGCCCCTTGCACAAAAGATGCTATTTGCCCTACTAGACCCTGCTACAAGATAGGGATTATGTATAGTCAAGGAATTAAAATGACATTTCAGCTGGGTGCCTGTGGCTCATGCCTATAATCCTAGCTACTCAGGAGGCTGAGATATCAGGATCACAGTTTGAAGCCACCTGGGGCAGGAAAGTCCGTGAGACTTATCTCCAGTAAACTCAGAAAAATCCAAAATGGCACTGTGGCTCAAGTTGTAGAGAGCTAGCCTTGCGTACAAAGAGGCTCAGGGACAGGGCCCAGGCTGAGTTCAAGCCCAAAGATGGGTAAAAACAAACAAATATATATATATATATATATATATGGACATTTCGCATGTTTTATCCTTGATATTTTAAAATTGGGAGGTTATTTTCAGTCACAGGTATGGCAAGGAAGGAGAGAGGCAGAACTCGAGACAGATGGATTTTTTTTTTTTTTTGTCGGTGGTGGGGCTTGAACTCTGGGCCTGGGCGCTGTCCCTCAGCTCTTCAGCTCAAGGCGAGCGCTCTACCACTTGAGCTACAGCACCACTTCCGGTTTTCTGGTGGTTTATTGGAGATAGGAGTCTCACGGTCTTTCCTGCCCTGGCTGGCTTTGAACCGCGATCCTCAGATCTCAGCCTCCTGAGTAGCTAGGATTACAGGCATGAGCCACCAGCGCCCGGCGACAGATGGAGTTTGAAGTTCCTTCTCTTCATTAAGCCTATATAATATGGTAGGTGAATCTATTAAGTGCTTTGAAATTGTAACCATAGTAAATACTTTGGCTATTCATGGACATTTATGGAAGATTCTTCTTCGGGCTTTATGTAAGTTACCTAAGCTCAACAATGACTTTGTAAGGTTCCTACTCCGATTAGGAAACTGAAGCTCAAACTGACTAATTCAAAGTCCCACAGTGAGTGGGAGTGGGGTGTGGACTGAAAATAGTGTGTGTGTGTGTGTGTGTGTATTCCCTCCTTTTCCTTTAAAATAATATGGTTTGGTTTTTAAAGGGAAGCTTAAACATTGCAATGTAGGGGACCTAGCGTCCCTGTAAAGCTTACACACGGGCAGTACATTGTGAGTACAGGGGCACACCTCAAGTCGCCAACTGCCAGCCTGGGGGAAGGTAACCAAGGACGTCGTTAGCAGGGCGTCCCCGCTGGAGTCTGGGGTGCTGGAAATGCCACAGGTGTTTTGCATGCGAGCAAGAGAATGTACGCGGTGGCCTGCAGTGAGGTGGGGAGCCGGGGCCGGGTTGGGAGGCGGTTCTTGGTCCAGAAAGAGACTCCAGTCAGGGGAGAGAAACGTCTGGCAGGCTCCGGGACTCGCAAGTTGGAAACCCACTTAGCCGCTCTTCTGGAGAGTTCTTCGAGGTGATGAGGCGTTATTTCAGCATTGAGGTGTTTTACACATGGAAAGCGTTCCATCCCATGTTCCGGTAATGTTCAGTTCATTTTCAAACTCCAGTCAACTTCCCCCTCCCCGCCCCCTCCCCCCAAAATAAAGCGGTGGTTCAAGTCCCCACGGCGGGAGGGGAGGGGAGGCCAGGCTCGGTGGGCTGCCGGCCCCGGGTGCGGCCCCTTCTCAGGTAGGCCCCGAGGGCCGCGACGTCGCCCCGGGTGGGCGGCACCGCGCGCCAGGGTGGCGCGAAGGACGTCGGTCCTTCGGGGCTGTCTCCGGGCCGCACGGCCGAGGGG